ACATCATATTTAATGAGATTAATGTTGTATGGGAAAGATTTTAACCTGCAAAGTAACTACAACAAACAGATAAATGTATTGCAGTAAAGAAAGTACTGCATTTCCTTCTGAGGTGTAACAGCAATAGAAGCAGAGGACGGTTTAACTTGGAAATATTCAAGTAAAGTTCCTCAAAAATTGTATCCAAGTGCAGAACTTGAGCACATATATTCACAGTTACACAGAGTGTGTTGGTTCAGGTTGAACTGATCTCAAAAACAACAATAACAAAAATATCCTTGGAGAGAAAGTAAGGCATCTCAACAACTCCAAATTACTTGCTGCAGCACTAAACAAAGGATCGCTCGTTCACCTGACATCAATATTCCAGTTGTCGTGAACTCCAGCCTGGACTGACAGGAGAGGAAGATTACAACATTTAGCATTGAGGATCTCCTTCAGGTCTTTTGAATCTTTTATGGGGGTGCAGAAAAAAAAGGAAAAATGGAGCGTTTTCAGAAGGGAATCAATAATAAATCAAGCATGCATCTTTCGTCAGCTGCTGAAGAGACCCAATTTAACCCATCCATCATGTTGAGACCTTTATTTTATTTTTGGGAATATTGAAGGGAGAAATCAGTGGATGATTTACAGCAACATTCACGTATGAGGGTTTATTTGTGCGAAAAGGGTGTGTCTCTTTGCAGAATGACATGTTGTTGTTATCCTTTTGATATATTTCCTGACTGTTGTACATTGTTGTGACTTTGCACATTTGCTTCCTTTTGATGTTGTCTTGCTTCTGCCATCTGACTCAGAAAATCACTTGTGCCATCTGCAGTTGTGCGTAGCTTCTGGTAAATGGAAACAGCAGCAAACCTCTGTCTACACTGCAGAGCAGTTGAGGTTATCAAACAGGTGCAATCACCAGTGATTAAGTTGCTATAAAAAAAACACTATTTTTTAGGGAAGGATACCAAACATTTCCTAGTTCCAGCTTCTCAAGTGTGAGTATTTGCAATGTTTCTTTATCTTGTACTCTACTGAAGTGAGTATATTTCAGTTTCAGAGCGTTGGTCCAACCTGATCCCCAGAAAAATGTTGGCATTGTACATTTCTGCAAACCACGGACACATTATATTTGCATGTTATTGTGTATTAGATGTGCTCAAACTTTCAATAACACTTACATTAACATGTGGCTAAATAACCGTAAATCTTAACCTGGTTTTGGGGGGGCACAATCCCAGGAAAAGCAGTGATACATCTGTATGAAACAACCACTTTTCGTGCCACTGTCCCTGCCGAGGGCTCGCTGCAAAACACCTACTGTAAAAAGCAGCTGGAAACACAGCAGTGACTCGTTAAAACACAGCCATTTTTGTTGTTTGCTGGTCTCAAATAGTGGTCAGACATAACATGCAATATAAAGAGGTAATTATTGGGGTTAAATAGTTATTTATTTTGCTGTTTTCCGACAAATTTAAGACACTAATAATTAAAAGCAGAGTAAAGGATAATGAAAATAATCGTTAGTTGCAGCTCTGGTAAGTTAAATATGTAGCCAAAAATGAAAAGCAACAGCAACATATGCTACAAAAAGGGTATGCATGAATGCATTTCACAAACTGAACCTTATACATGCAGTGTCCCAGAGTGCCTTTAATTCAGAAATGCCTGAAGCTTTAAATGTCGTGCTCCATGAAGCCAATCTGTCCTACGGTGACAGCAGAGACCTCCTCCAGGTATCCTGTAACACCAAACACTGTGAGCCGCTTCAGACTTTTTAAGATTTGACCCGGTGCACTGGATGTTGTTTTCGCTGATGCAATGTGTTTGAATGCAGTATCACAAAAGTGGTGTGACCCTTTCAGGGAGAGGGCTGAGGTTGCATATGAGAAAAGTTCAAAGTTCAGACAGAAAAGAGAGTGAGTGAGGGATGAAGAAAGAGAGGGATGTGAAGGCCCCCGGGGCACGCTTAACATCCTCTGTCTTGTACCTGATTTGTGCAGTGACAGCTAAACATCTGTGAATTTCTTCCAACAGCTTCAGGGCAGAAGAAAAGATGGAGGGAGAGATGGATGGATGAATGTGTTGATATGTAGGACACTGCCCTTGTCACGTCTTTTCCTGTGATTTTCACTTTCTCAAAGATCAAATTAGGGGAGAAAATTCAGAAATACTTCAGTCAGAGTGTTTCTCTTTTGCTGTTTGGATGCTTTTTTCGGTGAACAAACTGCGCTGCGACCAGATATAAGGTGAGGTAGAGAAGATAGAAGCAGCTGTTTAGTGCTGGGGTGAGCTGAGTGTGGTCAGTCGATCAGAGCCTGAACACAGGTTGTTTGATACAGTCTCCTCAGCTGGCTCTTTTAATCACTGCATAGTTCCTTTAGCCGACAGTCACTCCTAACAGTCACATTACTTTCTTGTTACAAAATGACATGCTATGCTTTGATTCTTTAGATCAATACATTCAGAAGAAGGCATTTTAGTTTGTTTCACACACAAAGAGATGCCACTGTCTTCATACAGTTTGTCTGCGGTCTGTGTTGTTTGTGCCGTGTTTCTTTCCTCTGATGTGTGACAGACTTGAACTGTGTAACACACTCACCTGAGTGAAAGTCTCATCTGTGCTGCAGTGACGCTGCACTGATATTTACATTACAAATTATGAAAATGACTCAGAATGAAGGGCCTAATATAGAAACAACCATCAGAGAGGCTGATGAATTCTAGCAGCAATAAGGCAGGAAATTAAAACCCTTTTTCCTACACAGCAGAACTATGCAGTCTTGTGTCTAATATGCTATATTAATGATTATATATATAACTTATTATGTACTATAGAATGTTAAAAGTGCACATAGTCACTATAAAGATTAGGTTAACAAATATATTCAATCCTATTCTATTTTAGTATTCTAAAACAGGAAGACCAGGAAGCAATGGGACCAGGAAGTCTCATTGAGATTGGAATCTCTTTTACATGAGAGACCTGGCCGAGGTATCAGCCAATCAAACCACTTTTAAAATGCAATATATACAACATACAACACAAAAATCCACCATAAAACAACAACTATCAAAAATATAGTGGCCTCTCAAGAAAAACAAGCACATGTCTCTGTCACCACATTCTTTATGATGCCCAGTAGGAGAATGTTGTTTTCCCCAGATCTGATAAAAGAGCCCAGTCTCACTCGGAAGTCGTTGAAATCCGGCGCTTGGGCAGTGGCTTGCGGCGTCAGAAACCAACAAAAAAAAGGCATCCTTTAACATTGGCATGATATGTGGCCGGTTGCTGTTATAGTTTAACTGCACCAGCTGCCTCAGGGGGAAATGTGGTGGGACAAGACTGAAAGTTACCGTGGCTAAAGTCCGACTGAGGTGGGCTGAAGGGGTCCAACAAACACCGACTTTGACCCAAGAGAGCGGTGCTTGCATACTGTAAAATTCTAAAGCCAAACCCTGTTCTTAACCATGTGGTTTTGTTGCCTAAACACAACCATGTGTGTTTGTTGTTGAAGGAAAAATGGAGGAGTTTGCATGCATATTCTCCTGAGACCCACATTACATTTGGCGTTTACAGCACCTTATGCTTATGCTGAACTTAGACCTGTTGTCCTCATTCATGGATACTTTTTGTCCCATCTAGTGGTAGTAAAACCACAATACACTAATCCATATAAAAAAAAAGATGGCTGCCATCACTGCCAAGTCAGTCTGCAGCTGATCCCGTCACAAAAGTGGATGAAGTACAAAACCTGCTCGCATTTAATGGTTCAGACTTGTTTATTTATGATTAATAATGTTTGTAGTTTGATATGCCAACAGATTTTACAAATTTTGGAAACGGTAACAAGCTAAGACGCTTTCAATTAAAAAGTAGGCTACTCACTAGAAGATATTGGGAATTCATCATAAGCTCATTTGAGGACATTGGGACTTAACAGGACTTTATTATCGTCTACAATGATTAGTTTTTTATACTTATCAGATCCTACTAATCCTAAATAGCTAGGAGAGATTAAAAATGCATACCAAACAAAAGCTGAGATCTCAGGAGGATATACAATATGTCACTGTAATAAATCACAGACAGAAAAGTAGGTTTCACAAGTTTTTTTCTTAGGATTGAAAGTAAAACTTATTTTTAAAATAAAAGTCAATCTTCACTTTAACCTTCTTAACTAGAGTGGCAAAATGTGCATAAAATGAAAGCTTGTCATCAGTCCATTTACCCAAGAACTTGTATGAAGGCAGTCTTTTAAATGAATTTATACCGTCAGAAGTGAAGATGCTAAAATCATCGAGCAACTCTCCTGTCTTATTTTATCTTATTCTATTCTGGCCGTCGTTGTGTGATCGCGCCACAGGAGGGCATGAACGTCTCTATCTCTGCCTGTCTGTCTCTCCCTCTTTCGTCTGGCGTCAGCGGTCTCCCAGCAACAGCCAGGTTCGAGCTCATCTCAATCATCCGCCGCTGAACGCCGTCAAGCCGCACTGACACACTCAGACTGAAACAGGAAGCATGGTAGATTTTACCTACAAAATAAAAGCACACAGGGTTCAGGTGTGTTCCCGCAATCTCGGTTACTGTGATCCAGTTCTGCTCATCCTGCCTGAGTAGACTGGAGACTGTTTTCCAGTGTGTGTCACCTTGGAGAGGAAGACACTCGCATTTAAGCTCAATTGTTTGTTAAAGAAAGTTTTTTTCTAACTCTTATTGACTTAGCAAAATAAATCCACTAGACTAAGTTGCTTGCCTATTCGTTTTTCAACCGTCATTGTTGAGAAATTATAGGCTAGGCTACATGAATGCAGGAAAGTGCCGGGAGCGCACGCATATACAAGCGGACTGCTTCAACCCTGACTGACGGTCTGACCGTCTTTTGTCACCTCGGGACAATAATTCTCTGATGTTTTATTTTGAAGAACACCTACAGGAAGTGGTATTGTTGGCAATGCTGTGGAATTTGCTCCCAGGTCCGCTCAGCCGCAGCAGAACGGCTGAGAAACCATGGAGCGCAACAAGACGCGTTGGAGAGACTCACCAAGCGGACGGAAAAAGTGCCAGTTTCTGAGCTGTCTGTAAGTCACTTTCAGCGACAGTCGACAGATTTTGCTTCGCCAGTAGGTGGACATTGAGTTTTCCTAAGCGTGCGTAAACTGACTGGAAAGGTCTAGGAAAGAAAATAGTCTTGGAGTGACCAGCAGCTACCAAAGAACGGGAGGAAAGGAGGAGTAAAAAAGCGCTCGAAGGAGGGACGAGTCCTCGTTGGACAGAAATGTACTCTGTCTTATTATTTCATACTCATTTGGACATTTTATGTGTTTTGGGGGAAGAGTCGCTGGTGTGCGTTGCGTAAAACCCCCAGACTGCTTTCATGTCTCATTCCGTTAGGAGGAACAGTTACTTATCTCCAAGGAAAGTGTGAGCGGAGCTGAGATTTCTCAAAGAAGGAGGCACTGGGCTAAAACTGAGAAGCAGACACTGAACAGTTACGAACCATGGTGAAGTTTCATAACTCGGACCTATGGATAGCCTGGATGGTCATTTTCTGCATGGAGGGTAAGTTGTCTAACTTGTGTGGCTGTCCTTAACTCTAAGCACGGTGCACCTTTAATAATAATAATAATAATAATAATAATAATGATAATAATAGATTATAGGAAAAATATTTCAAAATCCTTACATATTTTCTGTCACGTGTACAAATCATTATTACAATACATCTGCATCAGCACTGCAAAAACAGATGTATTCGGAATTAACCTCTCCTCTCCAAGAGCGCGTGCCACATCCATTTGATCCCCCCTCCTCCTCCTTAATACTGTATGTTTGGATCAAGCTGACAAATCCCCGGCATTTCCACAAAAAAACTAAAGCACCGATTTAGGATGACTTTTCCCCAGTAGTCGCCATGTCCTCTCTCCCCAAAAGCACTTTTGATTGAGCACATCTTACCCATAATGCGCTCTGCGGTGCCTGATACCGCTCTGTCGCCTCGCTACAATTACGGTTTCTTTTCTTTTTTATTTTAACTCATGCAACCACCACCGATACACATTAAAACGTTGCACAGTTGGAGAGTCTGTGTTTAGAAGAGAAAAGGTGCAGACGTTTGAGGGTTGCGCTGGTACCCGCCCGATTAACGTGAAGCATGGTGACCAGGCAGCTCAGGAGAGGAAAACCCCAAAGGAGCATCACTGTATAGGCTCCTATAATTCTCCCATGGGGACTTGTATGTGTACTGTTTATGTGTGTTTGTGGCACTAAATAGCAAGCCCATTACCTTATTTTACTTCTTAGCCCAGCTTTGATATCAGTAGTCCAACAATACAACTATCTGGAGTGACTGGAAGTTTGTCTTTGTTGTGTAACACAACACCCACAAAATATTGAAACTTACAATTTGTGTGAGATATTTGTCAAGTAAATGTATATAAATACTATCAGAGGATTCAGTTCTGGGAGAGCATTTGGAGATAACGTTCAAAACTCACAAGAATAGAAAAGCATTACAGAAAAGATTAATGACACAGTAAATGAGCATCATTTGCAAATGTATTCATGCAAATGTGATGCAGGCCGATGAATAATGATGTTTAAAATGCACAACAAGGCTGGTAAATAGCTTTAAGTTGAAGATGTATGGGTTCATCATTTTTATTTTCTTTTGCATAGCGTACAAATGTTTATCAGAAAAACAGCAAAGCAGGGCAGAAAAATGCTCGACAGTGGCAGCCAAGTCCCCTCAGAGCCTCATGTCAGGACACAAGATGCATTTCCACTGAACCATGCAGGCACACACACACACACACACACACACACACACACACACTGGCCTGACATGTCAATTTGGACAACAATTGTGTGAGATTGAATTTAGTCCTGATTGCCCAGGTGTTTCACTCTGCTGCTCTCCTGTTTCGCTGTGTACCTCTGGAGTGAGTGGCTGTATAGTGTCTTGTCAGCTTTACTCTGGGTTACACACCAGACACACAGTCAGGCTTATTAGATTTAACCAGTCTGACCCTTTCTATGATAAAATGGTTTGCTTCACATGTGAGTCACACGTTCATCCTCAGCCATCCCAATAAGTGAAGGTTTGAGTCGACAAATGACTTTATAGACAGAACAAACTGCTCAGTGTGTACGAGCTCAATGGCTCTATTAACGAGCCAACTTGTTCAGAAAGAAGCTGCATTCGCTAGGCAGTTTTTCTTCCTCTTGTGTCTTGGTGGGTAGCTGCCAGTGTTTCTATAAATACATTCTGATGCAGCAAAGTCAGTATTGATTGTGGTTGCTTGTTTTGGCTGCATGTACTGACCTCCGCTTTTTGCATGTCAGACAGAGTCACTAGATTGTTCTGATCTGTTTAAGTCAGCGGACACCAGATTGTTTTGGGTTATTAATACACAGTGAGGCCTGAGTAGTTTGATATATATATCACGCATGTGTACATGTTTGACAAAATCTCTGGAAGCTTTATGAAAAAAAGTGTGTTTTTTGGCTTGAATGCAACGTACGTGTGGGCTGGTATTTGTTTGCTGCTGTGGATGCACACTAAACAGTTAAAAAGAAGTGAAAAGAGGAAAGTTTTGAAAAGCAGAAAACTATGAGCAAGTATGACAGCAGGAAGTCAAATTCATAAGTGGCCCGGACAGGCGTCAGCCACTGCCAAGTCTGTACTTTCAGCATTAGTTAAAGGACATGTCATGGCCCTCTCCAACCATCAACCCTCCCAAGTCACGCATAAATATTGTATCCTTTTCTCTCAATTAGAAAGAGGCATCTTGCAGCTATATAGTCAAGAAAAGCTGGGCTGTTCAAAGCTTTAAACGTTTGGAGAAAGTTTGTGTCAGTTAGAAGAATAAACAGTAGAGGCTCTATGCTAATAAACGGATTGGTTCTGCTGTTGTCACAACGAACCCCCATGGCGATACCAATACAGAGCCGCTCTGTCCATGATGCTCTGATTTAACGATTCACCCAGAACAACCCTCAAGGGTGTTGCAGGGACCGATCTGGAGGTCCAATCAATTCAGCAAATTAAATTCAAGCGGAGGTGGTGGCTCTGAACTTTTGAGCAACCACTGTTGTTTGTTTTGGCTGTCTGCATAATAGATCTTGTAGAGCATTTCAAATTTGCATACATTGAAATGTTTGTATTAGCCTCCGGGCTTCCATCCCAGTGTCCTGTATGTTTGAAATGAAGAGTCCAGTGAGGATGAGGAGCACTCGAGCATAAATAAGAAAGACAACATGGAGTGTTTCTTAAGCTCATTGACATTCAGAGCATTCACGTCTGCATCAAAGCTGAACTTAGACCAGCTCCCTTCTCCACTTTCTCTGTGAGCTTGTTAACCTTTGAGGATCTGTTCAAAGTACCGCTATGAAATTATGTAGCAAGCAAAGGTAAAAACTGGGCTGAATGTGGTGGAAAATCTAAATTTCACGACTATATTGGAAAGTACAGCAGGTCCAATTGTATCTGCAAATCACAAAAGCATGTTCGCCTGTGTGTTTCTACCCTGCCTTGTTTTTTCAGTTAATTTCCCTCTTCAACATTTGCAGGTAGTCAAAGATAATGAGGAATGAGAGGGAGCAGAGTGATAAGAACTTTGAAAAGATTAAATAAATGTGGTGGAGAGAGCAGCACAGCTTTGTACATACTCTCAGTTTTTGTAACCTCAGGTGATCTTGCGGTTTAAAAAAATGTAATGCACCTAGAATCCAAATTAGAGCATGCCTCTCAATGTAAAAATCCTGCTAATGCAGAATGCATATGATAAAAAAAAATCCTGTCTGTGTCAGTTTTATCTGATAAGTAGCGCTTTCCCCCCCTCCTCTTTCCGCCTGCTGCTAAAAAGGAGCAGCTGGAACAAGAGTGTTGGACAGATGGAACTTTCCACCTCGATTATTTTTCTCACTAAAAATAGCTTCTCAAAAAATTAAAAGACCTCTGGGACCGCTTGCAAAGTGCATGTGCGTGCGTGCATGTGCGTGTGTATGTTTGAGCGACAGAGGCACGGAGAACTTCAGACGACGGGGTCCTCAGATGATGGCGGCATCAGCCATCCTGGGAGTGTGAATGAATAAATGATGGGCAGATATTTGGAGGAAGAGAGCGCAGCATTCGCCCAGTCCCACGGTCTCTTAAGCACACATTAAACTAGGCCCCAAAGAGTCCACAGGCTGCTCTGCTGCACGGCAGTTGGCCAAGCATCTGGGGCAAACATCTGATGTGGTCAGTTCACAGAGGCTGGGGGCTTTGAGGATTTTGGGATTGGTTGTACCTTTAATCAGAGTGGCGAATGAGAGAATCATGAGTGAATCATGAGCGTGTAGGGAGCAGGGTGATGCTGTTGATGCCGAAATGTGATCGTTTGTGCTTTTTAACTGCATTTGGGTTACATGATTAAAAAGGGTGTTGGGGAAGTAGGGTGTCACTTATCAAAACAGGAGCTGATCTGGAGACAGGCAGTGCACTTGTCAGACTTGTTTTACATTCAGGTTTGTCATTTATAACTCTTAAAGTGGCAAACACTTTACTTTCTGGTGAAGGCTCAGTCTTTTTAGATGAGCCGCTTTGTCACCGCTGTGTTTTTCTCGGCAGGGAAATTGTGTAAATGAAGCATTTCAACTTTTATTTTTTGACACTGAAGACACTTCATCAGCGATCAAAGTGCAGTGAAAATGAGCCTCAAGATTATTGCCCTGAGCAGCCAGATAACTTCTCTATGGATTAAAAGTTACTTGCCCTATTGTGAAAGCTGATGTTAGTTAAGAACACCTCCACTTTATAACTTAAGCATGAAAAATGAATCTCTGCTGTCCCGCAACAGTGCTTTGTATGGTTGGCGAAGAGGAAAAAGTATAAAGCTAAAAAAACACACGACAAGACCACAAAACACAACTGAATCGACGTGTTTTATGTGTGTAGAACAGTGTCTTTGTCCATAACACACTGTGACAGATGTACCATTTGGATGAGACCATCTTTTAGCTTGATTTTCCTTTCGTGTGTGTGTGTGTGTGTGTGTGTGTGTGTGTGTGTGTGTGTGGGTGTGTGTGTGGAGAGAGCCTTGGGCTTATACATATTTAAAGCGGATGTCTTCTTCCTGTCGTGGCACCCTGAAGATCCTTTCCTTGAAATGAGCAGTTTTGCTTCGCTGGCTCTTGAGGTTTGACAGGACCTTTGCTGACAGGACTCCTCCATCACATCAGTAACTCAGGAGTTGTTCGGGGCATGCGGATATAACACAAAGGTGGTCATAATAGAATGTTTGATGAGTGTCATATGGTTGAAAAAAGAAAAGAAAAAAAGCTTTCATAAGCGTTCAGCTCTTTGTAGCTATCAATGAGTTTTGGTTTTCTGCTTACTTACATGACAGATTAATAAGTGTAGTCATTGCTTACTGTCAGGGATTGTTCTGAAGGCTCAGAATGAACAAAGAGAGTGACAAAGAAGTCTCTTTTATCCCATAAAACTGAGCAAAGTCATGAGTGTGAGTCAGCCCCCTAAACTGCTGTCACAAATTGGGGGTTTCCAAAGTCTGTGCTCT